GACCTAATAAATGGTGCTCACCCCAAGAAATTGTCTTTGGGAGCTGGAAAGATGGCTCAGTTGTTAAGAGTGCCCACAGCTATTGCAGAGGCCCCAGGTTCAGTTTCCAGAACCTACATCATGTGGCCCACAACCACCTATAATTCCTATTCCACGGGATCTGACGCCCTCATCTGGCTTCCATGGGTACCTGCACACATGTGGCATACAGACACACATACATATATAAAAATAAAAATAAACCTCTTTTTGAAAGAAAAAAGAAAGAGGGGAGGGAGGAAGGAAGAGAAAGAAAGAGAGAAAGAAAAAAGAAAGAAAGAAAGAAAGAAAGAAAGAAAGAAAGAAAGAAAGAAAGAAAGAGGAAGAGAGAAAGAAAAAAAGGAAATAGCCCTTCTACTATAATTTGGAAGGAAATGTTCCTCAAGGTCACAGTGTTAAAGGCTTAGTCCACAGCCTGTGGTGCTATTGGGAACTGATGAGATCTGTAAGAGGTGGGGCATCATGGGAGAAAATTAGATCATTGGGAGCAGTCCCTCAAAGGGGAGGTTGAGGCCACAGCCTTTCCTGTGGCTCATTTTACTTCCAAACAACTGCCATGTAGTGAACAGGCCTCCCCACCACATACTCCTACTGTGACATGGTTCCACCTCAGACCCAAAACAAGAGAGCCAACCAATCATGGATGGGATCCTTTGGAAATGTGAGCCAAAATAAACTTTCTTTCCCTTGTCAGTTATGTGTCTCATGTGTGTTCTCACAGAAACAAAGTTGATTGACATGCTTCCCTTGTGGGAGACTGAAGCTAGGCATAGAAATCACTTTATGGATATATTGTTAGGAAGTGGTAGATACCATGGAAGGCGGAGCCTAGTTGGATGAAGTTAGGTCACCAGGAGCATGTCTGTGAAGGGTCTTTGTGCTTCCTGGTCACCATGATGTGGGCTGTTCTATCTGTCATGCCCTTCCTGCCTTCATGGAGTAACACTTCAGAAAATGTGAGCTGAGCAGACACGCCCTTCCTTCAGTGGCTTTCCTCAGGTGTTCTGTCACAGTGACGTCAGTAACTAACACACTACATACTCACTTACTGAGCCAATGTGGGTTAAGGAACTATTTCATACCAAACACTTCAAATCCTATAATAGAGAGGCAGGAAGGACTCTGTCCTCACAGGTCTTACACACAATCAAAAAATACAAAGGTTGGCTGGAGAGGTGGCTCAGCAGGTAAAGGAGACCACCACCAAGCCTTATATGATCGGAGTTGAATCTCCAGGAACCATCCACTTGGTGGGAGGAGAGAACCAACTTCCACAAGCTGTCCTTCATGTGTGCTTGTACACACAAACACACACAAGAAAATAATTAACTTAAAATAAAAAGTTTAGTGTAAAAGTGAGTTGATAAAGAAAAACTGAGAGACATATTGACTGGTTGGTGAGAAAAGGCTTTCCTGAGGAAAAAAGCTGACACACACACATATTGAAGTGATATTGTTACACAAAAACGATGAGGAGAAAGATCCACGCAGAGGGAGCCCTGAACCCCAAACCCCAAGGAGAGACGTGGAGATGAAAAGGACAGACCCAAGGCCTGTGTATTCAGTACTTTCCTCATTTCTATCATTTCTCTGACACAACACCTGGGCTGCAGCAACTGAAGGGGTGCAGTCGTCTGAATGAGAAATGAGTTTGGACACTTGGTCCCCAGGTGGTGGCCCATGCTGCCTTGCTGGAGGAGTCAGTCACTGGTGTAGGCTTTGGGAGTTCATGGCTCCATCCCACTGGCTGTTCTTTCTCTCTGACTGCTGTGTGTAGAGGAAATGTGATCAGCCAGCTTCCTGCTCCCGCTGCCCATTGCCATGCCTTCCCTGACATGGACTCTCCCTGGGGAACTGTGAGACAAAATGAATTCTTCCTTCTATAGAAACCCTTTTGGTCACAGTATTTTATCGCAGCAACAGAAAAGGGACTAACACAGAATCTGGCATCAGGAAGTGGTGGTGTTACTGTAAAGAATGACTGTGCTGGATTTGGGGTAATGTGTAAGACTCTGGAGCTTTGGACTACAAAGTGGTTAAATGCTGTAGGCAGAGTGTAATGGGTTGTTCTAGTAGAAACTCGGGAGACAGTAGCACTGAGAGTAATTCAGACAGCGGAGGCCCACATCAACAGGATTGGTGGCAGTTGGGGGAGAGGACTCTGTCAGCAATTGGGCTAGAAGTCATGTGTGTGATATTTTGGCTACATTCTGCCCATGTTCTGAGAACTTGCCTGAAGCTAAATTAAAAATCACTGAACTATATCTCAGGTAGAGGAAATGTCAAGACAATGTAATGCTACATCTGAGAAATGGTTATTACTGATTCATCCTCTACAGGTTTACAATGAAAAAGAGCAATGAGTGGGCAAAAGGAAAAAGTGTACAGTCTGGAGAAGGAAAGAGTACTAGGAAGCTTAATGTTCAACCAAGGTGTGTGCTGAGAGACTGTAACTGTTAAAACAGAGTAGACACACACACACACACACACACACACACACACACACACACCAAATACACCACATACACACATACCACACACACATATATCACATGCACACATGCCCCATACACGCATACCATACACACATACATACCACATACACTGCACACCACATACACACATACCATACACACATACATACCACACACACATAAAAGCCTCCTACATACCACACACAAACACACACATACACACACACACACACACACACACACACACACACACACACACATACACATACACACACACAAGCCTCCTGTTTTGCATTGGAAAGATAGGAAAGGTACCCTCAGTACAAGACCCACCCACAGATAGGCCAACTTGTGAAGGAACCTAGAGGGTTTACGGCTACTGGAAAGTATGCCACAGCTGCTACTAATGTGACTTGAGGAAGTGAGGGTCCATCCAAAGCTAACAGCTGAACACTATCATCCATGTGATAATGGCTTTGGAGACATAAAAGATGCAAGATTGGGGGAGTTGTGGATTCTTCTTCTGTAATCTCAGAGAGCTGCTGAGGCCAGACAATCTGTGATATTGCTGAAATCCCTGCAAATAGGCCATGAGAGGCCACTGCATGAAGCTATGTGAATATGAAGTCTGGGTTGTCATGGAGACCCGGAGTTGTTAGAGATGCCACAATCATGAGACATCTGTCCAGAACCACTACATACAGGGAGTAGAACCAGTCCAAGAAAGAAATGGATGTTGCAGGCAGAGAAGCTGGAGGGATAGAGTCATCTAAGCCTTTGGAGACTGAAGGCCCTGATACCAGACATAGGGCTGTGGATTTGGAGTTTGCCCTGCTGGATTTTGGTCTTACTTTGCTCCAATCTTCCTTAACTGTGCCTCCATCCCTCCCTTTCAGAATATATGTAATGTATATTATGTAAGGGTGTATTGAAAGTATGTAATTTGGTTTTTGTTTTGTCTTTAAGAAGGGGCCACAGTTCAGAGGTTGCCTTGAGTCTCAGAAGAGGCTTTGACTCCTGAACGCTGTTGACACTGTTAAAAACTATGGAGACTTTTGAAGTTGGGCTAAATGTATTTTGTAGCATGAAATGGCCCTGAGCCTGTGAAGGCCAGGGAGCCGAATGTGGTGGTTTGAATGAGAAATATCTCCCAGAGGTTCCTGTGTTTGAATATTTGGTCCCAGTTTGCATTGTTTGAAGAGGTTGTGGAACCTCTAAGATTTACAGCCTTTCTGGAGTAAGTATGTCACTGAGGGTGGGATTTAAAGGGTTATACCTTTGCACTACTTCATGCTTTCTCTCCACTTCCTGTGTGTGGTTAAGATGTGATCTCCCAACTTCCTGCTTCTGCTGCAGTGTCCACCTCCAAGGCCATGAACGTTATCCCCCTGGAACCATGAATTAAAGTCTTTTCCTTTAGCTGCTTTTGGTCACTGTTGTTGAGAAATATTTGTACACTGTGAGAAGATGTGTTGCTTTGACTGGTGTAATAAAAAGCTGAACAGTCAATAGCTAGGCAGGAAATACAGGTGCGATTTCCAGGGAGAGAGGGGAAGAGGAGGAGAAAGTGGCACAAATGATGCCAGGAGACACCAACAAGACATGGAGGGAGTTGGACATACAGAATGAAAAAAGGTTGAAAAATCACATGATAAAACATAGATTAATAGAAACAGGTTAATTTACGTTATAAGAGCTAGTGGGACAAACCTAAGCTAAGGCCAAGCTTTCATAAGTAATAATGTCTCCATGTCATTATTTGTGAGATGGTGGCCCAAAGAAAAATCCAATTACACATGGCATTTTTCTGCAGCAACAGAAAAGTAACTAATACAGTAAGGAAGGGAATCCTTCAGTTTATAGTTAAAGGAATACAGTCTACCATGGCAGAGAAGGTATGGTGACAGAGGCATAGACAGCTGGTCACAATACGTCCACAGTCAGAAAGCAGAGAATAGACAGGAAGTGGGGACAGGCTATCAAACCTCAAGTCCAAACCTCCATGATCCAACTTCCTCCAACATGGTTCCACATCACAAAGATTCCAGAACCTTCAAAATCAGTGTCACCAGCTAGGAAACAGTTGTTCAAAAAATAGACCTATAGGGGATTTTACATATCCAAACAGCAGCAACCAGTATGGCCAAACAAGGAGAGAAGCAACCAAGATCAGAAAACTACAAAGGGTCGAGACTGTGTGGGGATCTAATACTGCCATGGGAGGGCTTGATTATGACATTGAGGGGGGAGGGGAGCCTAGATGATAGCTCAGCAGCGAGGAACACACTGTTTGTGCAGAGGATCCATCAGGTAGCTCACGACCACCAGTGGACCTCCAGCTCCAGGGAGATCGGCGTCCTGCTTTTGGCTGCTTCAGGCACTTGAGTTCACATGCCCATACCTATACACTGACACACATGTGCACACAGAGTTAAAAATAAAATATATCTTTTAGCCAGCTGTAGTGTAACACATCTTTAATCCAAAACTAGGAAAGCAGAGACAGGTGGATTTCTGTGAATTCAAGGCCAGCCTGGCCTACTCAGCAAGTTCCAGGCTGGCCAAAGATATATAGTGAGGCTTTGTCTCTAAATAAATAAATAAATGAATCTTTTTAAAATACATGATATAAAAAAGAAAGCCAGCAGGGTTTTAGACATGTAAATAACACAATCTTATTGATATTACAGAGAACTTATATTGGAGACCACAGACACAGCTGGTTATTGGGTGGACCCCGAGATTACCTAATAGACCACTATTCCTTTCTCCCAACACCCCAAAATTGTTCTATGGCAAGAGGACGTCTGTGTTGTTATTATTGGTGTGAACACAAAATAGCAAAACACTCATGAAGTGAAATTTAGCAAAACTACCTATGCATGTGGCCACTGACTCATAAACCCCAGTCCTAAAATTGTGTTCCAAGCATGCTGACAGAAAGACAGGCATTGGTGTGCCTGCATGGCTGGTGTCTCTGCAGCTTCATCTGCAGCAGCAACGGTCTGGGTGTGACCTGTGCTGGCACCTGCCAGATTAACATGATGTGTTCACTTACTACCCAGCTGTCACAGGAAGGTGGAGTGCCTCCACACTCAAAAATATCACTACATGAAAAAACACAAGGTAGAGATGTGTGTACTTTATTTTGACATTTACCTAAGAAAGATGTGGTATATAAACACACTTAAATGGAAAAATAAGCAGGCTTGGTGGAGCATGTTGTCATCCAACATTTGATAGGCAGAATCAGGAGGATCAGGAACTCAAGACCAGACTGGGCTACACAGAGTTGAATATGAGCCTGGACTACACAGAGAATTCAAGACCAGACAGGAATGCATGAGAGCCTTATCAAAATAAATCAGTCACTAGATAGATAGACAGACAGATAGATAGGTGATTGGTGATGGATAAATGGATAGGTGATGTATAGATAGATAATAGATTATGTAGAGATAGAGAAATAAATGGAAAAATAAATAATTAACAAAAATAGTTATTATTAATTAACAAAACATCTGAGTAACATAGAAAGAGTTAAAATTCAGTTCCCACCCAGTAAACAAGAGAAAGCAGGAAAGTCATGAGTTCAAGTCCATCCTGAGCAACATGAGTTGGAAGCTAGCCTGGACTACATAAGACACTGTCTAAAAAGCAGGAAAAAAAAAGAAGAAACAAGATTTCACTGAAGAGAATGAAAAGTGGACTTTCTTCCTTTTAGAGTAGTTTTATTCTTTGACATCACACATATGTATTCACTATATCATGATCATACCCACCCCCACTCTCCTTTTCACCACAACCCCCGACCCCCTAACCTGGCCCCCTTGTTAGGTCACATCTTCTACTTCTGTATAAACCAATGAGGACAATTAGTGCTGCCTCATGTCATGGGTGTGGTACCATCCACCAGAGAACATGGATAAATTCAGTGACCACACCCCCAAAGAAAAAGACTCCCCTTCCCCCCCAGCCACCAATTGCCAACAGTTCTTCAGCTAGGTATACAGCCTTGGAAGCCCCGCCTCCACTTTTACTGGAATTTTTTAGATATATTTTTAATTGAAATTGAAATAGAATTACATCACTTTTCTCCCTTCCTTCTCTCCCTCCTTCCCCTCCCAGATCTCCTCCTTCAAACCCCTCCCACATTTCCCCCACTTTCAAGTTGACTATTCTTTTCCTTTGACTATTATTGGGTGTGTGTGTGTGTGTGTGTGTGTGTGTGTGTGTGTGTGTGTGTGTGTGCAAATATATATAAGTACAACCGGCTACCCCTGTTTTTGTTTTTGGTGTGTACATGTTTTCAGGGCTGAGCACTCTGCATTGGACAACCAATAAGAGGGTTCATCCCTGGGAGAAGCTAATCCTCCCTCTCCCTGAAGTCATTAGCTGCCTGTATTTCTTTGTCTAGAGGTGAGGCCCTGAGAAATCTTCCTGGTTCCACACTAACACTTTGATTGATGTAGCCATTGTTCCAGTCTGGTTTATGCAGCCATTTGTAGGAGAGACTGTTTCACAACAGACTTCCCGTATTCCAACTCTGACAACCTTTCTGTTCTCTCTTCTTCAGTGTCCCCTGAGCCATGGATGCAGGAGCTGTGACGTCAATGTCTCTGGGTTCCCCATTGATCTATTGGTCTCCGCATTGTGTCCAGTTGTGGTTTTCTGTGGTAGGCTCCATTTGCTATGAAGAGGGGCTTCTTTGATGAGGGATGGTAGCTACACTTCTGTGTGTATAAGCCTGAGATTTAGAATGCAGTAAGGAATTAGACTTCTTTTCACACAATATATTCTGATTATGGTTCCCCCTACCCCAGGGACTCCTCCCAGTTTGTCACCAACCACCCAAATCCACACCTTTTCTTTATCCCTCTCATCGAAAAACAAACAGGAAACAACAACAACAAAAATAAAGACAGTCAGACAAAACAAATAGAAAAAAAGAGCCAAAGAAAAGGCACAAGAAACACATACTGAAACACACATTCTCACATGTGCAAATCCCATAAAGACACAAAACTGGAAAACATAATATATAAGCAAAAGGCCTGTAAGGTAACTAAATACACATACATACATACATACATACATACATACATACATACACACACACACACACACACACACACACACACACAAATGTACATAATAAAACTCTGACAAAGAATTATAAGATAAAGAACCTCAAATACCATTGAGTTTGCTTGTGTTGGCTGTCTACTGCTGGGTATGGGGCCTGCCATCAAAGTATGCTTTGTATACACAGTGAGACTCTATCGGAGAAAACTAATTTTCTTTGTGAGCAGTTGTCAACTGGAGATATGGCTGGGTTAGAGTTGTGGGGCAGGGGCGGGGGGGGTGTATCTACTTCCCCTCAGTGCTGGAACCCCATCTGATTTAGACCTATGCAGGCCCTGTGCATGCTGCCACAGTCTCTGCGAGTCCATACATATGTGTGTTATCCCTATTGTATCTAGGCCTTGTTTCCTTGGTGTCTTCCATCACCTTTAGCTCTTACAATCTTTCTACCTCCTCTTCTGCAAAGTTCCCTGAGCCCTGAGGGGAGGGGTTTAATGGAGACATCCCTTTTAGGAATAAACTTTCCAAGGTCTCTAACTCTTTGAACATTGTCCAGTAGTGGATCTCTATTTTTGTTGCAGGAGGAGGATTCTCCGATGTTGGCTAAGCATGAATTCATCTATGAATACAGCAGAATGTCATTAGGAGTCATTTTACTGCTATATTCCTTTATGTAATAGTAGTATTTGGTTTTCCCCTAGGTCTGTGGCCTATCTAGTCTCAGGTTCTTGGCCATCCAAGCAGTGTCAGGGATAGGTTCCATCTCATGGAATGGGCCTCAAATCCAATGAGATAGTAGTTGGTTACTCTCACAACTTTTATACCGCTGTTGTACCAGCAGATCATGCAGGTGGGACACGCTTGTAGAGCAAAGGGTTTATAGCTGGGTTGGTGTTTACCTTTCTCTTCTGGTAGCATGCCGAGTACCTTCCAGTGCCATGAACACTGGTCAGTAGAAGTGAAGCTCTAGGTATACATCAGCATGACTTTCCCAAGTTTAATGAAATATGTAGGTGTTGTCTTCAGCAATAGGAACTTCTCATCAGTTTGTAGAGAGCAACTAATATCCTTGGCAACATCCTTGGCTGTTTGGAGGTTTCCATCGGGCCCCTTTGGCCAACAACTCAATTAGATGTAACCCATTCCTGGCAATGGAGGTTTCATTTGATGGCAAAAGATGCCTAGTTGGGGTTTTGTCTCCCCTGTTATTGGTGATTCCATTTAGTTAACTTTTTAATTAAAAAATTAATTATAATTTTAATTGAAATTTATTTTTAAGATTTATTTATTTTTATGTGTATGATGTTGTGCCTCCATATATATATGTGTACTGTGTGCATGCCTGGTGCCATAGAAACTAGAAGAGGGCATCGGATCCTCAGAACTGGAATTACAATTACAAGCTGCCATGGCAGTGCTGAGAACCAAACCCAGGTCTTCTACAAGATAAACAAGTACTCTTTACTGCTGACAGTTGTTTGTCGGTTTTTTTCTTTGGGGGGCCTGCCAACCAGCTCCCAAATAAATCACACCCAGAGGCTTATTCTTAATTATAAATGCTCGGCCTTACCTTGGCTTGTTAATGGAATTTTCCCAAGTCCTGGTCCTGAGAAGATTCCTCCCAGAGTCCTGGGGAAGATGCTATGTCCAGCGTGGGGTTATCTGAGAAAAAGGAATCTATGTACACCATGCTCTTTGTCCATTTACTTTATTCCTCTATGACAAAATTCTATTTATACAGCTTCAGTTCCATCCTGAGTCTCAGTTCCTCTCTGTACCTACTTTTTCTGTCCCCTCATAGCCTTAGTAATAACTAAGCCCTTATGTTTCTTAACTCATCTTCATCCCATGTTCCCTTGTCCTCCATCTTTGCTTCCTCTTCTCCTCTCCTGATCTGATTCACCTACAATCTACAAGAAACTTTTCCTTGCTCCTCACTCCTCAGCCTGAGCCACTCTGCCTTACCATCTACAGAAACTCTCCTTGTTCTTTCTTTTCTGGCCACAAGGCTCTGCCTCCTCTGGAATTCTGCTCCAGTACGACTGCACCTGGTTATGCAAAAAGTCCTATTGTCCTCTGTCAATCTTTCTGCAATGCCACTAGGCCTGAAGGCAAGGGATGGTCTGAGCTTCATTTGCACAAGAAACGAAGCTATGCATCTACAGCCCTGCCTGTCTACTAGGCTCTGTGGGGGAATGTTACCTAGTGGATCAGCATTTGAGAAGCTTAGCTGTTTGCCAACATGGTCCAGGAGTATATGGGCCCACAAGAATTTCATAGCAGAAGACAGCTGAAATATTAATAACGGAATAACAGCAATTATTCCCTGATAAATGGCTTCCTCTAGAAAAAATGCCTTGAAATTTCTAGGTATAGCTTTAATATACAGCTGAATCTCTAGAATATATTCTTCTGGCCTGCAAGAGTTTGTTTCTTGATAGCTTTCCTTAATTTATCCCATCTACCTTTTGCCTCTGGGCTTTTATTGTTCTCTATTTCTGTATACCTTTCTTTGTTTCTTACTCTATGGCTTGCTGTATAGCTGGGTGGCTGGGTGGCTGGCTCCTGATGTCCTCCTCCTCCCTCTCTCATTCCTTCTTCTTCTTCTCCTCCCAGATTTCTCCTTCTATTAATTCTCTCTGCCTGTCAGCCCTGCCTATCCTTTCTCCTGCCTCGCCCTTGGCCATTCAGCTCTTTGTTAGATCATTAGGTGCTTTAGACAGGCAAGTATCACAGCTTCACAGAGTTAAGCAAATGCAACATAAACAAAAGTAACACATCTTAAAATAATATTCCCCAACAGCCGATCTATCTCTCCATCCCTTTAACTGATACTTATTCCTAATTCCTAAAAGTTAATTATTCAAATGGCTTTGAAATATAGCACTTGACGAAACCTCTCCAGTGCTGAGCCAGTAGCTGAGGAGAGGCCAGTTCTCAGCCTCCCCAGTGCCAACAGCCATTGTTGGACTGTCAACCCTTGCCATGTAAGCCTGCCTAATAAATAAATCCTCCTTCATAACATATATTCATTCTATCAATTCTGATCCTCTAGAGAACCCTGCCTAATGCACTACCCCACCATACCACCCAGACTGTGGTCCCTTTATGTTGTTATTCTGCATCCAGAGAAACCAGAGGTCAATGGAGAAGTAGAGAGGAGAGAAGGGGCCATTATCAAGTAACTGCCAGTGAACCGAAGACACACAGGCCGTAGAGAAGTCACTGTAGTCTGGACAGCAGTTATCACAGATACAGATCCTCACTAACTGCAGCAAGAAGAGAATCTGAGTCAGGCATGGTGGCAGCAGCCATTAATCCCAGCACTCAGAAGGCATAGGCAGATGGATCTCTATGACTTCAAGGCCATCCTGGTCTGCAGAGTGAGTTCCAGGGCTGCCAGGGTTACAAAGTAAGACCCTATCTCAAAATAGAAGAAGAGAATCTAGTGTATAATAACCAAGAATGTCAACAAAGGTTTTTTTTCCTCCAAAATCTGTTTAATGCTGACTTTTTTATTTGCAAAAGGGGCCAAAGGAAACAGATCTGAAGCCCACTGTCTCCACACTCTCCTCCAGAGGAGCTGGCATCTAGGAAGTTTCATGGAAAGGACATACTTGTCCTCGTGCTTGCCATCAAAATGAAGTGTCATTTCTGTATAGGATGGGTTTTTTTTAGACAGGATCTCATTAGCCCAGGCTGGCCTTGAACTCACCATGTACCCAAGGATGACTTTGAATTTCAGATCCTCCTGGGTGCTGGGATTTCAGGTGTGCACCACCAAACCTGATTCATGCAACACCGAGAATTTAACCCAGGGCTTTGTGCATGCTTGGTGAGCATGAACTGAACTACAACTGAACTATCACCTGAACTACAACTCTGTAGCTGGAGCTATCTCCAGTCCCGCCTGGGCCGGCAGCCACTCAGACTCAAATAAACACACAGACGCTTATATTATTTAAACTATTTGGCCTAATGGCTCAAGCTTCTTGCTATCTAGTTCTTATATCTTAAATTAACCCATTTCTATTAATCTATAAGTCGCCACGTGGCTCGTGGCTTACCGGTAATTTATATCTCGCTTTTCATGGCAGCGTCTCCCAGCCTCAGCCTTCCATTTCCCAGAATTCTCCTCTCTCCTTGTCCCACCTATACTTCCTGCCTGGCTATTGGCCAATCAGCACTTTATCAATCAATCATCCACAGTACATCTCCCTCCGACTTCCATGCTATTATAGCAGGAGAGCTTTGTCACAGCTCCCCTGGCCCAGCGGAAGAAGGGAGTGGCCTCTCTCTGAAAGCAATCAAGGGGTGCTGGGTGCTCAGTACCCATCCTTGGTTTTGAGATAAGATGCACGAGTCAGAGTCAGGGGTCCACTACTAGGCTACAGTACCTCCTTCCTTATTTGCTGCAGGACTAGTCAGAGGGGAAAAGCAAAGGGGGGCCTTTGTTTGACACCACTCTTGCCTCAGTCCCTTCTGCAGATTCTGGCCATGTGACTTTTTTGGGTTTTGGTTTGTTTATTTGTTTGTTTCTCCGAGGCAGAGTTTCTCTGTATAACAGCCTTGGTTGTCCTGGAACTCAATTTATAGACCAGGCTGGCCTCAAACTCACAGAGATCCAGCTGCCTCTGCCTCCCAAGTGCTGGGATTAAAGGCGTGGGCCTCCACCACCGGCTGCCATGCTGCAGTTGTAAAATGAGTCCTAAGCATATCTGTGCTTCCATTCATTACTCACAGAGATGAAAAGGTGAGCAGGGATGATGACTGGTTGGTTCCATCATGATCTCATTATTAAAGGACCAGCCTTAATAATAGTCTTCCCAGGAGCCCACAAGAGAAACTATGAACGGCGAGAATTATTTAAATGAAATGAATCTAAGTACACCAAGCTCTTTGTCCATCTACTTTATTCCTCTGGGATAAAATCCTATCTACACAGCTACAGTTCTGCTTTTGTGCCCAACTCCTTTCCTGACTGATTTCTCTCTACCTTTATCTACTGTCCCCTCTAAGTTCTATCTTAATTCTCTCATCTTAATTCTGCCTCATCTAGGTCCTTCTCATCTCATTCTTACCCATCTAGTACTTTCCCATCTGGCTCTTCCTCATCTTCCATCTCATCCTCAAGTTCTGTAGTCAAAATCCTCCTTATCCCTCTCAGTTCTCTCTCTTCATGCTCTCTAGGGTATTCAGTTATAAACCCAAGCAATAACAATCCTCCCCCTCCAGCCAGATCACCAGGTTTGAATTCCTACAGGGTCATAAAGGCAGGTAAGAGTTTTCTCAGGCAGTGACTGTCAGGCTTTCTTTTATAACCTGAAGATGGAGTGGTTAAAGGAGGAGGTCAACTGAGAGCTAATATCAGTTAGTATATCAGAAAGGGAATTTATGTGCTCAATCTACATTCCTAGAAGTGGTTAGGTAAGAAGTTAGGAGTCTATAATGTTAGTAAGGTTGTATAAGAAAAGAGGGTCTCACCTTAAATTGCACAAAAAATAAAACTATCCGCCTGACCTAGGAGACAGGTGTTGTTTCCATAAGGGTGTTACCTTAGTTCAGGAGGTCATTTGTCCTTGGATGCTTGATTAGTATTTTGGATACATACACTGTTAGAAGTTCTTAGAAGTACATGGCACACAAGAAAATCATTGTAGATACCAGCTAATATATATATATATATATATATATATATATATATATATATATATATATATGCTAAAATATCACCAAGACTTCTTAAGCCATGGCTTGTCCTCATATGGGGATGTCTCATTTAGCCTCCAATTTGATATTCCATGTTTGGTTGATATCCATGGGAGACTTGTCTTCCTCTGAATAGAAACAGGAGGATCGGTGACAGAGGGAAGATGGGGGGAGAGACTGGGAGGAGAGGGAGGAGGAGAAATAGTGGTCAGGTTGTAAATAAATAAATAAAATATATATTTAAAAAGAGAGAGAGGAGGGAGAGAGTTAAAGAAATGAAAACGAAGCTATAGCTGCCATTGTTAAAGCCACAGATGAGCTTAGTGTCTACTAGCTGGGATGAGGAGGAACGTGATTAAGTGTGGCTAAGACAATCTGTGTTTTGTGATCATTCATAAAAATGGGATAGTCTTGGGATGTGTTTTCATTCACTCCATATAGAAAGGGCTGGAACAGTCTAAAGGAAGTGTCCCACTCAAGTACAGCTTAGGGAACCAACCAGTTCCATTGGAGTCATTTACAAGAGCATGCGAAACATGTGTCCAGCTACACCACCGCAGTCTCCTTTTCCTCCAGCCATTGTTAACTGCTAATGTTTCCTTGGGAAGAGGCCTGTGCACCTCCTGAACCATCCTCTCCTTCCATGAGAGAACGGTAGTGGGAACAATCATTCTAGGGTCTCACAAAAGGGATCACAGCTTCTCTGACTCAGGGCAGCAATAGTTAACATCCAGCTTGGAGGAAACAGACACACAAAATCTTGCTTTTGTCCTAGCCATTAGAAACACAGAGTATCCTGCCTAATGCTGATGGTCTGTGAAACTGTGAGCTCTAGACCAAGTTTTGTCTGCCAGCACCAGACCACCTCGGGATGCTGGGGACAGAAGGGTTTTTTTTTTTTAAGATTTATTTTTAGTTATGCAGACTGAGGGGAGTGGGTACGTGAACATGAGAGCAGGTGTCCTTAGAGGCTAGAAGAGGATGTCAGATCCCATGGAGCTGGAGCTGCAAGCAGTTGTGAGCTACAAAAGAAGAGTACTGGGAACCAAAGTTGGGTCCTCTGCAGGTGCACCAAGAGCTCTTAACTATGGAGCCATCTCCTGGGCCCCAGACAGCATTTTTCTCTCTCAGCACAATGGAGACTTTGGCCCTCCAGATGCTGTGTGGATGACCATTGGACTCCTCATCTTCCTTGGGATCATAAAGAAAATAATAAAGAACAGGAATGGAGACATTACATGAGATGTAAGATGTGCCTCAGCAAGGTGACCTTCAAGTCCCGAAGGGCAGACAAGAAGAATCTCCATAACATATGAGACATGAGGCATCAGTGGAAGCACAGCCCCCATCAGTGAAGTGGCCACACCCACAGGAGCAGCATCAGGTGCCAGATGCAAACACCAACTTCCTCCTGGACACATAGGGACATCTGTAAGGTTCCATTGAATGCTTAAGAGAGATTGTAGGGCAAGAGCATGTCTCAGTGGCAAAGGACTGGCCTTGCAAGCATGAAGACCTGGCTAGGATCCCCAGGACCCATGTTAAAAGGGGGCTGGAGAACTAATTCAGCAGGTAAGAGCTAACACTGCTTCTGTATAGGACCCAAGTTTGAGCCCAGGCATCCATGTCAGCAAGTTCTCAACAGCCCAGCAACTCCAGCTCCAGGGGATCCAAAGGCCCCAGCCTCTGCTGGTACCTACACACATACATATAATGAAAGATAAAATAAATCTTAAAAATAAACGAAAAACAGATCCAGGAACAGTGGTGCACACTTGTAATGCCCACACTGGGAAGGACACAATCAGGTCCCTGGGACTCACTGGCCAGCCTGCCTAGACCACTTGGTGAATTCCAGGCCAGTAAGAGACTCTGTGTGTGTGTGTGTGTGTGTGTGTGTGTGTGTGTGTGTGTGTGTGTGTGTGTAACACCCAAGGAACAATATTCAAGGTTGTTCTTTGGTCCCCACATATACAAATACAAGCATATGCACCTACACATACATGTGTATACACACACATATGAACATGCACACACTTATACACACACACACAAGAATCTCAGGAAAGATGAAATCGTAGTCTGCAATATTGGTAGAAACAGACATTGGGAAGAGGTGAGTTACCATGAGGAAGAGAACATCGTTTGTACAAGGTTTAAAACAACTCAGATTTACCTTTGTTTTGCTTGAAAATTCTTGGAAGTAGGGGGAAAGCATTGTCCAGATATCAACTGGCTGCTTCTCTGTAGCTGATTAGTAGTGGTTCCCTGGAGCATTGTGTTGAAATTGATTGGTGCTGTCTTCTATGAACAATAGAATAGGAACATACTGTGTGTGGAGACACTGAGGACCACTGCTTGGATATAGAGGGGAGGTGGCCTGAGCCCAAGACCTCTGGGAAGCAGGAAGAGCGGGAACGACTTGTCCTGCTTCCAGGACAGAAAAAAATTCCATGATGCAGAGAGATCTTCTGTGGTCTCCTAAGGCCTCTGAAGCAGAGCAAAGCCTTTTCTGACAGCCATGCTCCTACAAATGACAAGCTGAAAAGAAATCATTCATTAAGCCCAGGACCTCTAGGAAGTTTAATTAATACACGTTATCAGCCAGCTTCTAGTTTCTGTTGAAACAAAGAAAAAAATGTGGCAAGCTGCCCCATCCCCACTCACACAGCTGAGAAAATTTACCTAACTCTTCATTTTGGAATATCTCATCCTGTAGTGTGGAAGCTATTCTTTCCTTATGGATTTTTTCTCATCAAGTTCAGTCTGATAAAAACCAAGATTTGGCTTTTATTTTTAGCTAGTTAAATGCAATGAAGAAATGATACGGCTGGACTTCCTTTCTGGAGCAGAGAGAGAGAGAGAGAGAGAGAGAGAGAGAGAGAGAGAGAGAGAGAAGAGCTCCCATCCTGCCACCCCGGACTTCCCTTCTGGACAAGAGTGCCCATCCTGCCCTGGACTTCCCTTCTGGACAAGGGCGCCCATCTTGCCCCGGACTTCCTGTCTGGACAAGAGCTTCCATCCTGCCCCGGAGTTCCCTTCTGGACAAGAGCTCCCATCCTGCCCCGGACTTCCCATTTGGACAAGAGAGCTCCCATCTGGACAAGAGAGAGAGACTTCCTGAATCTGTCAGCTCTGTCTGAACCAAGTGTGCGGATAAGGCCAAGAACGAACCACAAGGAGATGGGCAGACATCAAGGCAGAAATACATACATCAAAATGAATAGCAATACAGCATCACCAGAACCTAGCCCTCCTCTAACATCTAGACCTGAACATCAGAAATTGGAAGAAGCAGAAGAAAACAGCCTTATGAATGACATCATGAAGAAGCTAGAGGCTTGTGTAGAGGAAAAGACAAAAAAATGGGAAGAACGCTGTAAACAACTAGAGGAAAGGGCAAACAAATTAGAAGAAAACAATAAAGTCCTGGAAGAAAACAATAAAGTACTGAAAGAAAATCAAGAAAAATCAATGAAACAAATGAAGGAAACAGTCCAAGACCTGAAAAGGGAAATAGAAAAAATGAAGAAGACACAAACAGAGGGAATGCTGGAAATAGAAAATCTGAGTAAACGATCGGGAACTTCAAATGCAAGTATAATGAACAGAATGCAAGAGATGGAAGAGAGGACCTCTGGCATTGAAGATACAGTAGAAAAAATAGATTCATCAGTCAAAGAAAACACTAAAGCCAACAAAGTCATTAACCAAAACGTCCAAGAAATTTGGGACACCATGAAAAGACCAAACCTAAGAATAATAGGGGTAGAAGAAGGAGAAGAATACCAACTCAAGGGCACAGAAAATATATTCAACAAGATCATAGAAGAAAACTTTCCCAATTTAAAGAAGGAAATGCCTATGAAGATACAAGAAGCCTATAGAACACCAAACAGACTACACCCCCAAAAAAAGTCCCCTCACCACATAATAATTAAACAACTAAATGTACAGAATAAAGAAAGAATATTAAGAGCAGCAAAGGAAAAAGGCCAAGTGACTTATAAAGGCAAACCCATCAGAATAACACCGGATTTCTCAATGGAGACTTTGAAAGCCAGAAGGACCTGGACAGATGTAATGCAGACACTAAGAGACCATGGATGCCAGCCTAGACTAATATACCCAGCAAAACTTTCAATCATCATAGATGGAGCGAACAAGACATTCCAAGACAAAGCCAGATTTAAACAATACTTATCCACAAACCCAGCCCTACAGAAAGCACTAGAAGGAAAATTCCAACCTAAGGAAGTCAGATACACCCTCAAAAACACAGGCAATAGATAAAGCCACAGAAGGAAACCCCAACAAAGAGAAGTACACACACATTACCACCAAAAAATAACAGGAATGAACAATCACTGGTCATTAATATCCCTCAATATCAATGGACTTAATTCACCTATAAAAAGACAGATGGGTCCCATCTTTCTGCTGCATACAAGAAACACACCTCAAATTCAAAGATAGACACTATCTAAAAATAAAAGGCTGGGAAAAGACTTTCCAATCAAACAGTCTTAAGAAACAAGCGGGTGTAGCCATCCTGATATCCAGCAAAATAGACTTCAAACTAAAATCAATCAAAAGAGATCAAGAAGGGCATTACATACTCATCACAGGAAAGATCCACCAAGATGAAGTCTCAATTCTGAACATTTATGCCCCAAACACAAAGGCACCCACATATGTAAAAGAAACATTACTAAAACTTAAATCACATATAAAACCCTACACATTAATAGTAGGAGACCTCAACACCCCACTTTCACCACTGGACAGATCTCCCAAATCTAAACTTAACAGAGAAATAAAGGACATAACTGATGTCATGACTCAAATGGACTTAATCGATATCTACAGAACATTCCACCCTAACAAAAAAGAATATACCTTCTTCTCAGCACCCCATGGAACCTTCTCTAAAATCGACCACATACTTGACCACAAAACAAATCTAAACAGATACAAAACAATTGGATTAACCTCCTGTGTTCTATCAGACCACCATGGTCTAAAGTTAGATTTCAACAACAACAAAAACTTCAGAAAACCTACAACCTCATGGAAACTGAATAATACTCAACTGAATCACCAATGGGTTAAGGAAGAAATAAAGAAATTAAAAACTTCCTAGAGATCAACGAAAATGAAGACACCATATATCCAAACCTATGGGACACTATGAAAGCAGTACTAAGAGGGAAATTCATAGCACTAAATGCCCACATAAAGAAGTTGGAGAAATCTCACACTAGTGACTTAACAGCACACCTGAAAGCTCTAGAACAAGAAGAAGCAAAGACTCCCAGGAAAAATAGACACCAGGAAATTATCAAAGTGAAAGCTGAAATCAATAAAATAGAAACAAAGAGAACAATGCAAAAAATTAATGAAACAAAGAGTTGGTTATTTGAGAAAATCAACAAGATAGACAAGCCCTTATCCAAACTAACCAAAAGACAGAGAGAGAGCATCCAAATTAACAAAATCAGAAATGAAAAGGGGGACATAACAACAGACATCGAGGAAATCCAGAGAATCATCAGGTCATACTTCAAAAACCTCTGCTCCACAAAACTGGAAAACCTAAAAGAAATGGATAACTTTCTGGATAGGTACCACATACCTAAGTTAAATCAAGACCAGATAAACTATTTAAAAAGTCTAATAACCCCTAACAAAATAGAAACAGTCATTAAAAGTCTCCTAACCAAAAAATGCCCAGGACCAGATGGTTTCAGCACAGAATTCTACCAGATCTTCAAAGAAGAGTTAATACCAATACTCTCTAAATTGTTCCACACAATAGAAACAGAAGGAACATTACCAAACTCCTTCTATGAGGCTACAATTACCCTGATTCCTAAACCAAACAAGGATACAACAAAGAAAGAGAACTACAGACCGATCTCCCTCATGAACATTGATGCAAAGATACTCAATAAAATACTGGCAAACAGACTCCAAGAACACATCAAAACAATTATCCACCATGATCAAGTAGGCTTCATTCCAGGGATGCAAGGGTGGTTCAACATACGAAAGTCTGTCAATGTAATACACCATATAAACAAACTCAAGGACAAAAACCCCTGATCATCTCACTAGATGTAGGAAAAGCATTTGACAAAATTCAACACCCCTTCATGATAAAGGTCTTGGAGCGATCAGGAATACAGGGAACATACCTAAACATAATAAGGGCAATTTACAGCAAGCCAACAGCCAACATCAAATTAAATGGAGAGAAACGCAAAGCAATTCCACTAAAATCCGGAATGAGGCAAGGCTGTCCGCTCTCCCCATACTTATTCAATATAGTACTTGAAATTCTAGCCAGAGCAATAAGACAACATAAGGAGATTAAGGGGATACAAATTGGAAAGAAAAAAGTCAAGCTTTCCTTATTTGCAGATGATATGATAGTATACTTGAGCGACCCCAAAGATTCCACCAAGGAACTCATACAGCTTATAAACACCTTCAGCAACATAGCAGGATACAAGATCAACTCAAAAAAATCAGTAGCCCTCCTATATACAATGGACAAAGAAGCAGAGAAGGAAATCAGAGATACATCACCCTTTACAATAGCCACAAATGACATAAAATACCTTGGGGTAACACTAACCAAGCAAGTGAAGGACCTATATGACAAGAACTCTAAGTCCCTGAAAAAGAAATTGAAGAAGATGTCAGAAAGTGGAAAGATCTCCCATGCTCATGGATAGGCAGGACTAACATAGTGAAAATGGCAATCTTACCAAAAGCAATCTACAGATTCAATGCAATCCCCATCAAAATACCAACACAATTCTTCACAGACCTGGAAAGAATAATACTCAACTTCATATGGAAAAACAAAAAACCCAGGATAGCCAAAAGAATCCTGTACAATAACACAACTTCTGGAGGCATCACGATCCCTGACTTCAAGCTCTACTATAGAGCTACAGTAATAAAAACAGCTTGGTACTGGCATAAAAACTGACATGTGGACCAATGGAATCGAATTGAAGACCCTGACATAAATCTGCACACCTATGAACATATAATTTTTGACAAAGAAGCCAAAAGTGCACAATGGAAAAAAGAAAGCATCTTCAACAAATGGTGCTGGCATAACTGGATATCAACATGTAGAAGGCTGCAAATAGATCCATATCTATCATCGTGCACAGAACTTAAGTCCAAGTGGATCAAGGACCTCAATATAAATCCAGCTACTCTGAACCTGCTAGAGGAGAAAGTAGGAAGTAGTCTTGAATGCATTGGCATAGGAGATCACTTCCTAAATAGAACACCAGTAGGACGGACACTGAGAGAAACAATCAATCAATGGGACCTCTTGAAACTGAGAAGCTTTTTTAGAGCAAAGGATATGGTCAACAAGGCAAAGTGACAGCCTACAGAATGGGAAAAGATCTTCACCAACCCCACATCTGACAGAGGACTGATATCCAGAATATATAAAGAACTCAAGAAATTAGTCATCAAAATGCCCAACAGTCCAATTAAGAAATGGGCTCTAAGCCGGGTGGTGGTGGCGCACGCCTTTAATCCCAGCACTTGGGAGGCAGAGCCAGGCGGATCTCTGTGAGTTCGAGGCCAGCCTGGTCTCCAAAGCGAGTTCCAGGAAAGGCGCAAAGCTACACAGAGAAACCCTGTCTCGAAAAACCAAAAAAAAAAAAAAAAAGAAATGGGCTCTAGAAGTAAACAGAGAATTCTCAACAGAGGAAACTCAAATGACTGAAAGACATTTAAGGAATTGCTCAACATCCCTAATCATCAGGGAAATGCAAATCAAAACAACTCTGAGATACCACCTTATGCCTGTCAGAATGGCTAAGATCAAAAACACTGAAGACACCTTATGCTGGAGAGGATATGGAGCTAGGGGAACTCTCCTCCACTGCTGGTGGGAATGCAAGCTTGTACAACCACTATGGGAATCAATATGGCGCTTTCTTAGAAAATTGGGAGTCCATCTCCCCCAAGATCCAGCTATACCACTCTTGGGCATATACCCAAGAAATGCTCAGTCACACCACAAGAGCACTTGTTCAGCTATGTTCATATCAGCATTATTTGTAATAGCCAGAACATGGAAACCACCTAGATGCCCTTCAACTGAAGAATGGATAAATAAAATGTGGTACATATACACAATGGAATACTACTCAGCAGAGAAAAACAATGACATCATGAGGTTTGCAGACAAATGGATGGATCTAGAAAAAATCATCCTGAGGGAGGTAACCCAGACTCAGAAAGACAAACATGGTATGTACTCACTCATAGGAGGATACTAGATGTGGAACAAGGATGACTGGACTGCTACTCACATCACCAGGGAGGCTACCTGGAAAGCAGGTCCCCAAGAAAGACACGGGGATCGCCCAATGATGGAAAAATGGAAGAGATCTACATGAACAGCCTGGACATGAGGGGGGGTAATGAAGGGCGAGGGTCAAGGGAAAGAGAGCTTGGGGGAGTGGGAGATCCCAGCTGGATCAACAACAGAGAGGGAGAACAAGGAATAGGAGACCATGGTAAATGAAGACCACATGAGAATAGGAAGAAGCAAAGTGCTAGAGAGGCCCACAGAAATCCACAAAGATACCCCCACAACAGACTGCTGGCAATGATCGAGATACAGTCGGAACTCACCTACTCTGGTGATGGGATGGCCAAACACCCTAATTGTCATGCTAGAAACCCCATCCAACTACTGAGGGTTCTGGAAGCAGAGATCCATGGCTAGGCCCCAGGTGGATCTCTGGGAGTCCAATTAGCGAGAATGCGGAGGGTTTACATGAGCGAGAAATGTTGAGACCAAGGTTGGATAAAGCACAGGGACAAATAGCCAAACGAACGGAAACACATGAACTATGAACCAATGGCTGAGGGGTCACCAGCTGGATCAGGCCCTCTGAGTGGGTGAGACAGTTGATTGGCTTGATCTGTTTGGGAGGCATCCAGGCAGTGGGACCGGGTCCTGTGCTCATTGCATGAGTTGGCTGTTTGAAACCTGGGGCTTATGCAGGATCACTTGGCTCAGCCTGGGAGGAGGGGACTGGACCTACCTGGACTGAGTCTACCAGGTTGATCTCAGTCCTCGGGGAAGGCTTTGCCCTGGAGGAGGTGGGAATAGGGGGGTGGGCTGGGGGGAAGGTGAAGGGGGCTGGAGGGGGGAGAACAAGGGAATCCGTGGCTGATATGTAGAACTGAATTGTATTGCAAAATAAAAAGAAAGAAATGATACAAAAATGTATAAATACTATGTAAGCCTTTTGAAACTTTTGATTTGCTAATTAAAGATGTCTGTGTTCTTGGAAGTAGTGTAGTTAATATACATAACATTTTTATTTTCAGACCTTTGTGTTCTTTTTTGAGGTAGTGAATGTAGTTGGACTTTCTTTTGGGACTGCCAGCTCCCAAATAATGACACAGAGACCTATTATAAAAGCTTAGCCTTAGCTTAGATTTATCCCCAAATAGCTCTTATAACTTAAATTAACCCATTTATATTAATCTATATTTTGTCACATGGCTTGTTGCCTACTCTCTGTAATATATGTACAGCTTCCTCAGTGTCTTGCTGGCATATCCCCCCATACACACCATGCCTGGATTCATCTCCTGAGTTCCTCTCTCGCCCTAGAAATCCCATCTATTCTCTCCTGCCTATCTATTGGCCATTCAGCTCTTTATTAAACCACTCAGAATAAAACAGCAACACATTTTCACACAGTGTGATCAAATATCCTGAAACAGTAGTGAAGTTAGAAGATGATCTAATGAACATCTAGACTCTCCTGTGTTTTCCCACCATCAGCACTGTGACATATTTGCTTGTCCCTGTACATCTTTCTTCTGAAAGATCATTAAACAACTTGTATCATGATATTTTTTTATCCCTAAAATCTTCAGTCTGTATTTCCTAAGAACAAACACCTTCTCTAGAACAATCCACAGTTCAGTAATACAATTACCACATCCAAAAACATTCAAGTCAGATGGCAATACCACTCTATGTACAGTCCATATTAAATCATATTAAATCCTCCCAGGGACTGGAAAGATGGCTCAGCAGTTAATAGTGCCTCCTGCTCTTGCATAGAACCACAGTTCAGTTCTCAGCACCCACATCAGACACCTCACAACTCCAGCTCCAGGGTATCAGGTGCCCTCTTCTGGCCTCTGCAGGCATTGTACACACACACACACACACACACACACACACACACACACACACACACACATTTTGAAAATAAAATAGGAGCCAAGCATGGTAGTGCACACCTTTAATCCCAGTATTTGTGAGGCAGAGGTTGGCAGATCTCTGAGTTCGAAGCCAGCTGATCTACAGAGTGAGTTCCAGGATAAGTAAGGTTACACAGAGAAACCCTGTCTCAAAAAAAGCAAAAATAAATAAATATGTGAAATAAATCTCGAAAATCTTCATGGCCCTCATAATGTCCTTTCAGCTACTTGTCCTTTGCTTAATCCAGGGTCACGCTCTCGTGTTTCCCTTCATTATCTTTTCTTTGATTTCCTTTCATCTAGAACAGTCTAAAAGCAATCCTGCTGCTTTTAACCTTCCTGTTACTTATGTGGTTTTAGGGACCAGCTGGTCTGCCAGTGGGGGAAATCCTGGCTTGCAGAAGGATCCTATCTTCTTGAAGGACTTCATTCTCTTCTGAATGATTTACCACTTAGATTTTTCTGTATCATAAAAGGCTTGCCCCACCCTTCTGCCTGTGATGATGGAACTACAGTGAGCATGCTCAGTACAACAGGCATAATTCTGACTCTGGTTACAAATGAATCCAACAAGCCGGGCCTGGTGGCTAAGGCTTATCATCCCAGCTACTGGAGATGTTGAGGCAGGAGGATCAAAAGTTGAAGGTCTTCGAGGCTAGCTAGAGCAACCTAGCAAAACCCCATTTCAAATAAAAAGGGTTGGGTTTTTTGCTTTTTTTTTTATAGCAGAGGGTGTAATTTAGTGGTGGAGGGTTTGCCTAGTGTGTACAAAGCCCTAAATTCAATCGCCAGTCCAAATATCAAAATTGAAGAATCCAACTCTTTCCTAAGGGTTTCTCCCACAAAGTCCTGTATCCAGCCAAAAGGAGAGTCTCGTGTGTTTAGTTCTAAGTCAAGCAAAGGTCATCAGTAGGCCACTGACTGCCCAGAGATGAGAGAAAGTGTTGCTTGGGATAGGGCTGTTGACGCAGTTCTGCCGCTTTCTGGAGTAACAGTCACTCTGCTTTATTAGCTCCTGCTCATGTTTCATAACAGATGACAGCTCTGCCCTTTAATTGTTGAGGGATTTAATTCTGCACCGCTGTTTGTGGTTAAAATGATTTACCTTCCTTCATAACACTTGCCTTGCAGGGCCTTCCTCCAGGGTAAGAAAAGGAAACCTGAAGCTGAATGACCTGGAAGTATCGTGCTCACACTTCCGGTGTGGCCAGTGTCCCCACCAAGAACTTCACGTCCCCTTCACCATCTGTATCATTGTTGTTTACCTAATATGTTTCCTTACCTCAAATCCCCCTTCTCTCTTAGACAGGGTCTCATGTACCCCAGGCTGGCCTTGAACTCTCTATGCCACCACGGATAAATTTGAATTCTTACCCTCCTGCCTCCACTTCCCTACACTGGGATTATAGGATTCAACATGACGTAGGGCTTAGGCGTGCTGGGAATAGAACACAGGCCTTCATGGGCAGTCGATGAGCATGCTCCTGACCAAACTATATCTGCATGCCCTCAAATTTATTTTTTGCCTAAATAAATAACCTTTGTAATAAAATTTTTCATCCCTGCTTTAAAAAAAAAAAATGGCATTGTTTTACAAAACCTGCTGTAAAAATAAAGCCCGGAAGACCTAGGCATTAAGATACTCAAGTTGTGAGCTCCGTCTTTTCACTGTCTTACTTAAATGAAAATCAGTAAGAGTCAGCACAGATGACACCAAACTGGGAGGGCGGCACTGGCCATCAGAGGGCGAAGAGGAAGCGGGAGGTGGGTGGTCTATAAGCTTTCAGCTTGTTTGGTGTCAGCTTCAGAGGCTGTCCACAGGAAGCCCTCCTCTGTGCCCACAGCAGCACACCCCCCGCACTTGAGGAGACACCGGATTGCCCTGCTGCGTGCATTTTTCTTTCCCCTTTCAATATTCCTTTCAGTGATAACCCCATGGCAGTCTGATTGGAAAACTTGTTCATCGTGTTGAGCTAGATGGGTGGCTTCCTGCCTGGTAAACCATCAAACTGAAGCCCCACTGTCCTCACTGCCTCCACTTCCCACCCACCCCCACCCCCCATCAGCATCTTCAGCCCAAAAATACTAAATAGCGGGCTGGAGAGATGGCTCAATGGATAAGAACACTTGCTGCTCTTCCAGAGGACCAAAGCAGAGTCCTAGAATACATACCAGGCAACACACAGCTCCTTATAACTCTATCCGCAAGGGTCCAATGCCCTCTTCTGGCCTCCGAGGGTATCTGCACTCATGTGTGCATACACACATACACAAATAAAAAATAAAATAAATGTTTAAAATATATTAAATGGAAAATTCTAGAAATACACAACTCATAAATTTTAATTAACTTTCATTATAGCATATCTTATAATTGTTCTATCTTCTTATTAGCTAATGTTATTTGTTGCTGTGTCAAATTCATAAATTGAACATTATCCTTGGTGTGAGCCTTTGTAAAAAAAAAAAAGAGAGAGAGAGAGAAAAGTCATACTATATGTAGAGTTTGATGTGGTCACCAATTCCAGCACCGACTGCGGGTTTTGAAACATTCCCTGTGGATAAAAGGATATAGAGCATATTGAAATTGCTGTTTTTGTTGGTTGAGAATGGTCTAATGCCAACCATTTCACATAATGGAGCCTAATAGCGGCCATCAGCATCCTTGCAGTATTTCCCATTTACAAAATGTCTGCATAAGAATCACCTCACTTGCTCCCAACAGGGAACATGAACTCAGGCTTCTTTTCTCTTCATCCTGTCTCTTTTCCAGGGTAGAAAACACCTCTCAGAGAAGAGGAGCTTCCAAATGGGGAGTAAGTGAGAGATCTGGAGCTGAAATCTGGGTCTTCTCTCCCCACTACAGGCCCTCTGTCACCAAGTTATTGGCATAGCTGCGTTGCTAAGGAGAAATAAGGATGCCCAGTCAGGCCTGGCTCCGCTCCTCTGACTACAAGCCCTTCCTGCTGGGCTATTTCTCACTGTCCAAAGTCAGACATTGTTTCTGTCTTGACTTCATTCCACTCTGCATGAATAAATGTGAAGAAGGAAGGAAGGGGAAAGGGGGGAGGAGGGAAAACGGGAAGAGGATGAAATGAAAGATGGGGGAGAAAACGGAGAAAGAGAAAGCCAGAAGAAAGGGGGACAAAGGTATATTAGTGACTCCTCTCATAACTGTGCCTGAAGAGACAACATTTAAGGGAGTGAAAATCTGTTTTAGGTCACAGGTCAGAGGTCACAGTCCATCCTGGCAGGGATGCGCCTTGCCTTGTCCATGGTGACAAGAGGCTGCTTGCTCACATCTCACTGATGAGGATGCAGAGAGAGGGAAATACAGGTGTGTGACAGGCTTTCTCCCTTTTGCTTTTCATCCAGTCCGGGACCTGAGACCACGGGACGCTGCTGCCCACATTCAGGGAAGATCGTGGCTTCTCGGTTCATCCTCTGTAGAAAAGACCTCAACAGACACATTCAAAATAGTGCCACTTAATCCAATAACGATTTACACTGTCCCTTAATCCAATCAGCAAGATTAAACATTGAGGGCTCCCCCAGTTAGAAAAAGAAGTAAATTTAAAGAAAAGCTAGACCACCCAATGGGGTGCCTCTTAGCTTTCTGCAGATGCTGTTACAAACTACCAGAAGCGAAGAGATGATGGTAACTGAAATTTATTCTCTTGCCGTCTGGAGGTCAGAGGCTGAAATCAAGGTGAAGGTAGGCTTGGTTCCTCTGGGGAGAGAGGAGATTCTGTCACAGACATGTCTCCCAGCTTCTGGGCTTGGTTCCTCTGGGAAGAGGGGAGATTCTGTCACAGACATGTCTCCCAGCTTCTGGGCTCTGTCACACTCTTTGTCCTTTACTGGTTTGTAAATGCTTCTGCCTGCACTGTCATGTGACATCACCTCTTCTTCCTGTAAAAATGGCAGTCATTGGATTACGTCCCACCCAGATGCTCTTGTCTCAAGATCTTTTTCTGTTTTGTTTTGTTTTTTCCCTTGGTTTTCTGAGACAGGGTTTCTCTGTCCTAGAACTCACTCTGTAAACCAGGCTGGCCTCGAACTCAGAGATATACCTACCTCTGCCTCCCGAGTGCTGGGATTAAAGACATGCGCCACCACCGCCCGGCTCAAGATCCCTTTTTTAACTTCTAGTTTAGTATACATTTTTAAAGTGTGTGTGTGTGTGTGTGTGTGTGTGTGTGTGTGTGTGTGTGTGTGTGTGTGTACACAGGTGCGTGCCACAGCACTCATGCTGAAGTCAGAGAACAAACTGTGAGAGTGGATTCTTTTCCTCTACCAGGTGTGTGCACCAGGAAACGAACCCAAGCCTGGCAGCGAGCACTTTTTCTGGCTGAGCCATCTATCACCACCTCCAAGACCCTCAATTCCATTCTACCTGCGAAGTCCCTTTTGCCAAGTACGTCCCCAGACAGCGGTTCTAGAGGGACAAGTCTTGGAAAGGCCAGCAGGTAACACAGGTGGTCTCTCAAGCAGCAGCACTTGTCGCTGAGTGTGGAGAGCAGGCTGCATTTATCCAGTCCAGCACATACAGACACGATGCTAAGTGAGTTCCACCCACCAGTGCAATGATCACACTCACAGTTTGTTCCGTCTCTGCCTGTGGACGCATGGCTCTCCGAGCCCCAGCTCTAAGTACCTGCAGAAGAACATGTAAACTAATAACAGGCACCCCTCTAGGGCCATTTGCTCTCCGCTGATCACTCACAATGCAGTCCTCTTAAAGGTGGAATAACCTGGCCTCAAAAGAGGATCCCTCTCATCTTCTCTTGGGCTTTCATGGTGTGGGGACAAGGCTTCAGAAGTGAACTGTGGTTTCTTTAAAGCTCCTTTAAAGATGCTAGGTGCAGAGTTTGCCACAGGGGAAAAACACGAGCAAGTTAAAAGGAAAAAAACAAAAATTTTCCAGTAAGAATTGGTGACAAGTAGAAGTGATAGCAATTAAGTGATAATGACAGCAACACAAGGGTGTATGGAGTGTGTGCGCGTGTGCATGTATGTGTGCACGCACGTGTGTGTGCGTGTGTGCATGTGTGTGTGCGTGTGCGTGTGTGCGCATGCGTGTGTGCATGTGTGTGCGCGTGTGCATGTATGTGTGCACGCACGTGTGTGTGCGTGTGTGCATGTGTGTGCGCGTGTGCGTGTGTGCGCATGCGTGTGTGAGTGCACTGTGCGTGTGTGTGCTGGTGCAAGCAATCATGTGTATTCAGAGGCTAAAGGGAGTGATCAGGTGAGCAAGCTTTGTTATCCTGTCTTACTCTCTTGAGACCGAGTCTTTCACTGAACCTGGAGCTCTGCTGAGGGACGGCAGGCCCCAGCAGCCCTGCTGTCTCCACCCTCCACAGCACTGTGGTTGCATGTGTATGTGCAGCCATGCCCAGCTTTTTACGTGTGTGCTATGGGTCTGAACTCAGGCCCTCATGCCTGCACAGTGCTCTTACCCACTGAGCCAGCTCCCCAGTGCCCTTTTGCTTTTAATTGGCACATGATACTCATCCATGTCTATGGGCTATGGTGTGCTATTCCATGCACACACTGTGTAATCATCAAATAAAGTGGGCATGCCCATCATCTTGAGCGTGTATCATTTCTTTCTGTGAAGACATGCAAATCCTCTCTTCTGGGCCGTGGAAACGACTGCCAAGCCTGACAACTGGTCTGGGGTCTGGAGCTCACGTGATAGAAGGAGAGGACCGACTCCCACAAGTTGTCCTCTGACCTCTACATGTGGCAAGTGTACTCACGTACATAAAGACACATATGTGCAAACATATACATGCAGTACATTTTTATAAATTGAAATAAAGGAAAAAGCCTCTCTTCTAATTATAGGAAATACGTAATAGAAAATAGTTAACTATAGTCGCCCATCTGTGCAGCAGAAGATTCAGATTCATTTCTTCTAGCTGTAATTCTCCCCCCATTCCATCCTTAATACCATCCCCAGCTTCTGGAAACAGCCGCTTCAGTGTTTTGTTTGCTTTGGATTCCACAAATGAGTGATTCTCAGAGGCAGAGGCAGGAGGATGGCCATGAGTGAATGAGGTCACAGTTATGTCCACACTTGGCTTATCCTACTGAACACTCTGCCCTCCAGACTTACCCACTGTGCTGCCGATGACAGGGTAGCCATCTCTTCCTTCTCCGGCACTGAGGCTGGAACCAGCACCCCACATACACTAGGGCAGCGTTCCCGACCGTCCTAATGCTATAGTTCTTTAACACAGTTCCTCATGGTGTGGTGACACCAACCATAAGATTAATTCTGTTGCTACTTCATAACTGTAATCTTGCTACTACTATGAATCATAATGTAAATATCTGTGTTTTCTGATGATCTTTGGGGGTCAAGACCCACAGGTTGAGAACCACTGCGCTAAAGCAAGTGGCCAGAGTATTGAAAGTGCTGAGCTTCAGAACTGACAGGGACCCTGCAGGTGTCAGTGCAGGCAGTGAGTCTCAAAAAGAGAATGAAAACCTGCTTCGGATCAACTGCGACAATCTGCATCAGACTTAAGGGAGTCTAGTACCAGGTGGTTCATTGTCAGCATATTTAAACATGGTACAGTTTGGGGAAAGGTTTCCAGGCAATAATCTTTCCAATTCTAGGTGCACAACAAAGCTTAAGTGACTACTTAGAAACTCCTTTACAAAATACGTGTGACCGTGAGGGTATGTTCCACAGCTGAAAGGCCTAGAATCTACTGTGGTCTCTGACTGATAGCATAGAGGTCAGCAGGCCATAGAGGACATGTGACTTCTCCCCTAGGGATGGGTAATGGTCTAGGGAGGGAAGAGTCTGGGATAATCATTCTGGGTAATTTGGGTGAGGTCTGCCTCCACAGATAGCAAAAAGGTCACCAGATCATTAACAAAATCTACTCCCAAACTTCTGGGTGGGAAAACAGGTATGTTATCTCCTCCACTGAGACGAGGCCCCTGTGTATTTAACATCCCTGTTTCCCTAGTGATCTGTGGGTGCAAGGACCTTTGTGCTCCAACCAGAACCCTGAGGCAAACAAAGGAAAGACTCAGTGAGAGTTCTTGTGCCATGCAGGTCGAGACACCATCAGCACCGAAGTCCAGGTGTCAAGAGGGGACAGACATAACTAACAGGCTCCCCTTGTCCACACTGTCTGCTCTTTTGTGCTGCGACAGACAGCTGGAGTATCCAGGATTCACTCCCCTCACTGCACCACTTTCTTTTCATTTTTAACATACTTTTCATTTGTTTGTTTGGTATGTGTGTCCATGTGCATGTGATATGTGTGTGTAGCATATGCACACATATGTGGATGTACACTCCAATTCATGCAAGGACAGAGGAAGACATCAGGTGACCTACTCTGCTACACTCTGCTTTATTCCCTGGAAACAATGTCTCTCTCTAAACTTGGAGCCAGACAGGCAGCAAGCCTCCAGCGATGTCCTGGCTCTGCTCCCCAAAGCACTGGGGTTAAAGCTTGTGAGCAGCCACACCCAACTTTTCATGTGATTGCTGATGATCAAAACTCAAGTCCTCAAACACGGACAGCAAGTATTCTTGCCCACTGAACCACCTCCCCAGACTCATTGAACACTCATTCATAACTGGCCCTATGGCCATTTGCATCAAAGACAACTGCTTTGTAACCAGTGAGAGAGTTTATGGGAGCATTATAGAGAGTGTATAGAGGAGTGTTCTGTATTCAGCCGGCCCCTGGGGAAGCAGGAGTCCAGCAAGGCTTTCTGAAAATGGTGCATCAAATTCAATGCTTCCCTGCTTACCATGTGACGGGGACTTCTGGCAATGCTACTGTCTCAGCCTCCCTAATGCTGGGATTACAAGCATGAACCACCATGCCAGGCAATTTTCCCATCCATTGACACAAAAAGCAAATGTTTGCATCAGCCTTACTCAGAGTCAGATGTGGTCCCCGGCACTTGGCATCTACCACCGTGTCTGGCCCCTGCGACAAGCATTATAGCAAGACCCACATGACTATGCGGACTGTGCGCTGTTGTCACACCAGCCAGTCTCCGCAGACCCACTGTTTGGGGCTGGCTGCCAAAGTCCCCATTACATGGTCACCACAAAGTGAAATACTGAAAATTCTGGTCCTACTGTATTTCCCTCCCTAAACACATCTCTGATGCCACGGAAAATATTGTGACACCTGCTCATACTGCCGCCGAAACAGTGTCTTTGTTCTTCACTCTGCAGAAAATGTGAATTAAGTTTGTGAAGTGGATCCCGAGGGCCAAGCTGAGAGGAAAGTGGAGTAAAACAATTGAAGTCTGGCCTCAGAACCAGGTGTGGACAGAATGCTGGTCCCAGCTCTGCTGTGTGACCTCAGACAAACAACTTAACTTCTCTGTGCCCCAGAGCCCCATCTGGTATACTGGAGTTGAGAATAAAGGGCCTCATGTAGTAAAAACAGGACTCGACAAACTTTTTGTGTAAAGGTAGTAAATATTTCAGCTTGACAGAACATGTGGTCTCTGCTCCCACCAATCCTCTCTGCTCCTGCAGTGGGAAAGCTGCCATAGATAAATAACTGAGTAGATCTCTGTTCCAGATACTTCCAGAGAGATGGTTCAGCAGGTAAAAATGTCTGCTGCCAAGCCTGATGAAGTGAGTTCGATCCCTGGGCCCCAGTGGTTGAAAGCAGAGAAAACTCTCTCTCAAATACAGTGCGTGTGTGGGGACTTGGTGCATGAGTTCATACTTTGATGGCAAGAGCCTGGCTTCCCATCCCAAACTCTTAAAGCTGTGATGGCACACATCCAGGGACCGGCTTTCTCCAGCAGGACCCGGCAGCCTCACAGGCTACTCAGTATGAACACAAGGCCTTACCCAGTTGATGAAGTCAACACCCTTAGAATCCAATTACTTCTCAATACCGCCTGCCAGGGACAATGCTTGCACCACCAGAGCCTTCTGAGCTAATATCAAAGCTTAATACTCCTGTTGCAAAAGAAGGACGCTGCACATGCTCCACCAATTTACAAAGTCCTTTCAGGTTTAAAAGCATTGACATTTTGAGCCTAACTTGGCCCTATGAGGGAGAGATGAGTCCTCTCGTTTTATAGATGGGAACACAGGGGTGTAGTAGGGTTAAGAAAGTCCCTGTATTAACCCAGGGTTCTCTAGAGAACCAGAACTGATAGAAAGATTGTAATAAAAGGGGATTCCCTGGGTAGGTTAACACACTCTGTTGGGTAAAGGCTGGTGAGGCCGAAAGCCTCAATCTGATGCTGAAGGTCTGGAGGATTCCCAGAAAGCAACCATCTTGAGTCCATGCTGGGAGTCCAAGAAGCTGGATTCTCATGTCAGCAAAGGATGGTGGCGGCGGCAGCCATGGATGGATGCACAGTCACCAGCAAGAACCAAGATCAGCGTGGAGCACTGTGCTTTACTCAGAAGCTTTTCTACCTGGGTCATTGCTCAGATGCCTCCCGCTCCAGTGACTGGTCCCCTCAGTTAATCACTCCTGGAAATGACTTCACAGACCCATGCAGAAGTAATACCACGCTCTTGATTCCAGATCCTAACAAGCTAACTATCAAGATTTACCATCACAGTGTCCGAGCATTCACGGGTATTCAAGAGGCCGTGCTGGATCAGAGCAGGGGTTCCCACATTGAAATATGGTTCTCTGTCCACTGATTTGGAGCTGCCCAGCTGTTCAGTATCAACAAAATTCTTAGACTGAGCCCTCCCTAATTGAGTGTGGAGGTCTCGAACACTTTGGCAACAGCAGGATGTGTATGAAGAAGCAACAACAAAAAGCTCGTTCCAGGCCGGGGTGTGTGTTGGCTGGGAGAACACTTCCCTAGGGTGCACAAAGCCCTGGGTTTGATCCTCAGCACCCCGTCATTCTCTCAGAAAGCCCTCCTGCCTAGTCTTGGCTTGGTTTGGCTTTTTTTTATGTGACCCACTGAGTTTTTTGTTTAACACTATGTGGCATCTGAGAGCAACATTGAACAACCAGTAGGGTACCTCAATTCAAACTCTGTTTTATTGTTATATTTTATTATTACTTCCTATATTGTATTTAATTAACTTGAAAAATAGTAGGCTTCTGTGTGGGTTTTTCATACATCTTTGGTTTGAAAACAAATACTGAATATTTTCCTACCATCATCCCTTTGCATCCATCAAATCAGTGTGTCTTTGAATTGCATTGCTAGAATGTTTGATTGTAAAATTGCTGTTTGAGATGCTGTCTTGAGTTTCGTTTTTTTATTATTGCTTTTGGATTGAAATTTGAACAGAATTTCCAACAATTTCTATAATGACCCTAAACACACTTTTCTTCCATTTTGTACTGTGCGTTTATGTGAAGTGGCATCCTCGGCACTGGTGATTATAAAAATCAAAATATTGATCAACTCTACAAAGTGTTGAAGATACTCTACAGTCTGCATTATCAAATATTCAGCCAAGATTTAATTCTTTATGTAAAAATAAACAAGCACTTCCATCTCATTAGCATACAAATTTGCCTTTGTCTTTAATACATAGTCAGATTATGGGCAAAGCAGAGAACTGGTTTGTGTGTTTAGTCTCCACTGTGTATAGTCATGGCACATGGGGCTGCGCTGCATAAGGATGTGTGTTGTGCATTGTGTAAATCCCCTTCCAGGCCCCCCTTCCCTTTCTCACATAGCACCTTTCCCCTTAGTTCCCCTCTCCCCAGAGGGTTCGCTCCTTCCATGTCATAGCAACAGTCACAATTTTACATCTCTCTATAAAATCTAGGATCCATATAGTACAGAAGACATACAACATTTGTTTTGTAGAACTACATCTGTTCACTTAAAATGATTATGGCCAGTTACATGCATTTTCCTGCAAACAACATGACTTCTTTCTTTCTGTTTTGTTTTGTTTTGTTTTGTTTTGTTTGAGTCAGGGTCTCTATATGTAGTCCTGGCTGTCCTGGAACTCACTGGGTAGATCATGCTAGCCCCAAACTCACAGAAATCCACCTGCCTCTGCCTCTAGAATACTGGGATTAAAGATGTGTGCCTCAAATTTCATTTTTTCTTAGAGCTGACATTTATTTCCATTGTGCATACATACCACAATTATGAAAGAATTGTTTTTGTTTGTTTGCTCAGTATTTGTTTATTTTGCATGTGTGTGAGTCAGAGGACAAATTTCAGGAGTCAGTTCTCTCCTTCCACCCTGAAGGTTCCAGGAGTTGAACCCAGGTCATTGACTTGACATGTGTCTTAACCCATGGAGCCCTTTCACAGGCCTTGAGAATTGTTTTTAAATAAATTTAAACAGTATTATTTGGTATCAGCACATGTTTGATTTGGGTCCTTGTGTTAATATGCCCAAGGTTGTATAAAAATTTCTCAGGCAAAAGGAGTCACCAGTGGACAAAGTATCAAAAGCCCTGCTATGGAGAAGGCTTTGTAGCCCTATCCCTGCAGTGGCGGGGTCTTCATGTCACACAGGGTCACCTGTCTCAGGATGGGGCCCCAGGAGCAGACCCTAAGACAAGGATCCTACTGCAAGCAATTTATGCAGAGGCCTTCACAGGAAGCGTTGGTGGGGTGGGAAGATGAGGCAGGAACGAGGGACGGGCATCAAGTCCGTGTGTCAAAAGACCCATTGCAAACTCCAGGCATACTGTGAGAACCATGGCTTAGTTTCCCACACAGAGCTGAGGACTCTGCAGTATCACCCACTAATTCCCAGAACCAGGAACTGCGGGCAGTGCATTCTTTCCCTGACACGTCCAGCCTTCCCAAAGTACGGACAGATGTTGCTGTTAGCCAGGGAAGCCCTTAGGATAGAAGATGCACAAGAGACAAAGGTGGATGCTGAGAGGTGAGTGGGTTACCTCATTGGCAGGACAGCACTGAGTGACAAGCTGGTCTGTGTCCAGTCCGTTTGAACTGATGTCAGCATTCATTTCCACAAACCTACCTGGTGGCACATAATTGCAGCATCAGGCTGAGGCTGGAGGATTGCCAATAGTTCAAGGCCAGCCTGAGCTACTTAATGAGTTTGAGACCAGCCTGTATAGATAGCAAATTCCGGGCCAGCCAGGGCTACACAGCAAGATCCTGTCTCAACACATACATTTACAGCGGGGCATCTTGAACATGAAGCCAGCCCAGGTCACAGTGTATTTTGGGTAGGGGAAGGGGAGAGAAAGGAAAGGCCTGGCTGTGGAGAGAGCTCAGTCATTGCCGTGCTCTCCTGGCAAGCCTGTGGACCTGAGTTCAACCCACAGAACCCATGTGAAAGACCCAGGTGTGGTGGTGAACGTTTGCCTCTCAGGGCTGGGAAGGTGGAACAGGGGCATCTCCGGGGCTCACTGGCTAACCAGTTCCAGGTAGTGAAAGACCTTGTCTCAAGAAATAAAGGTGGGCAGTACCTGAGATTGGACCCCAACATCTACCCACATGTGCACACATGTGAACATACACACAAAGAAAGAAGAAAAAGAGAAACGAAGGAAAGAAAGAAGGAAGGAAGAAGGGCTGGGAAGATGGCTCAATGGTTAGGATGGCAACTCACAATCATCTACACCTCCAGTTCCAGGGGATCTGATGCCTTCCTTCTTCTGGATCCTCAGGCATCAGACATGCATGTGATGAACAAAAACGCCCACACACATAAAATTAAATAAATGAAAGTTTTAAGAAGAAAAGAAAAAGCCACATTTACTTGGTTTTTAAGATGCAAGACACCATTACCTTTATGATGGGCCCATACAGAATTACATTTTCTCCAAACTTCAAAGAAAAACTTCATTGAATTCATACCAAAAGCATTCTAATCTCAGAAAGGTTAAGAGTTTAAAAGAAAGTGTCTCCAGCTTGATATGAGACGTCTCTGTCTTGCTGCCCCCGTAAGAAAGCTTCTACCATCCTGACCCTCTGTCCCAATCTGAGTTTAGAAAATAGGGCTATTTTGTTTGCAAGTGCGTTGCAGCTCTGAAGTTCAGTGATTTTCTATTTCTTCACACTGTCTTTGTCATAGCAATACAATGCTCATTTCCATTTCAAAAACTATCTCTGCCTACTCCACGTCTTCAAACAAAACTCAGATCCCTGCTTAATATTAAAAATAAATAAATAAAAAGAGCAACTTCGATATCCGGGCACCCACCTAAAAGCAACAAAGGAAGTCACTGTGCTTCCTCCACTAAGCCACTCTCATTAAAATGCACATTTATTAATTAGGTGCCTCAGAGGCTGGCTAATTTTGTTACAAGGAGAAAGGAAGAAACCGAACATTTATTAATGGACTCCCAGCAGCTGTGCTAATGGCAAGAGATACAGCATTTCACACAATCCCAACTGCAGCCAGGAACAAAAAACAAGATTGTCACTTGCCCCGAGTCATTTCTCTGGCAAGCCACAAATTTGGGAGGATGCTGGCAGATCCATCTACCGATACTCACAGCTTAATAAACACAGAGCACAGAGAGGCAGCTGAGAAGGGTGAAGGAGAAGGAAAAACGGGGAAAAGGGGAGGTAGGAGGATTCCGCCCTCCAGAGTTGTACCCACTCATAACGCTGGACCACATGATGTTGCTAGGAAACAAGACGTTTCCTGATTCCTAAAGATGGAAGGTGGATTATCCCACAAAAACAGGAAAAAACTTTCCCTTTCCTTCTTCCATCTTTTGCCCTGTTTACTTATTTGTTTACTTATTCAGTTATTTGTTTTTATTGTGTGTGAGAGAGTATGGAACAAGAGTGCTACCACACATTTGTGAAAGTCAGAGGACAACTCTCAGGAGTAGGCTTTCTCCTTCCACCCTGGGCTCTGGAGAACGAACTCAGGCCATCGGGTTGTGAGGCAAGTGCCTTTTCCCCACAGAGCCATCTCACCTGCTGCCTTTTGTCATCTTAAGCATTCTACACAAGCCCACCAAACCCTTGGGCTTCAAATTCTTTTTAAATCTTTCCTCTCATTCACTTTATTCAGCATTTCATTTTTCATTGTGTTTTTCCTTCTTCATTCTCAACATTTCTAGAGCATAATAAATCTGGCCCCTTTATAATCCTGCATGAATCTCTAAGACTTTGTTTTCTAAGTCCAGGATAATAAAATAAAAGCTGTAACTACACATTAAGCTCTATTAAGACGGCTGTCAAGAAAGTGTAGACTGTACAAAGACAATGAGGAGGATCTAGGCTGTCCCAGACACTGGCATCTCTGTCACCCAGTGTCATAGTTCCATCTTTGAGATTCATTTCTTTAGCTATGCAAATGCCAGCAGGGAAACTATGGAATCCTGAGACAAGTCCTTGTTATGATTTGAGAATGGGAGGGAGGACAGAAAAATGCATGGCCCCCCTTCTTAGAAAAATTTAATAGGAGCTGGAGAGAGCAAGCAAATGTAAGGACCTGGGTTTGACTCCCAGCACCTGGTTTTAAAAAAATACAAGCTGGGAGGGCAGTTCATGTTTGTGATCCCGGCACTAGGGAGGCAGCGACAGGTGGACCTCTGGAGCCAGCTGGCCAGCCTGCCTAGCCTACTTGCTGAGTTGCAGAACAGAGAGAGATCCTGCCTCAAAAATTAAGGTGGTTGACTCCTGAGGAACTACACCCAAGGATGATCTCAGGCCTATACACATGCATGTGCATGCATGCATGCACAAATACAAACACACACACACAAAGAAAAAGGAAAATTCAGGCAGACACTAATTTTCTATACATATTTGATATCCCAAAGTGAGAGCCACTATTTGAATGGCTGTACCTAAATCTCTCTGGACCACAGTTGAGGCATCAAGACATGGGTTACAGAGCTGGAGAGATGCTCAGCTGGTAAAAGTGCTTGCAGCCAAGTCTGAAGACCTGAGTTCAATCCCCGGAACCCACACAGTAGAGGACAAAAACCAACTCTCTGGTTTCCACACACACCATGGCAGGCATATGCCCATACCCAACCACAGAAGCAAAATAAACAGTAAATGTAATTTTTTAAAGAAGTGGGCTAAGGGACATGAATATCTACCATTAATTTAAAGTGGACTGATTGGAATTCAGATATCCTTGCAATGCTTTTGAGCTCATCTACAAGTGTGGTTTGATAAAATAATGGTGTACTGGCCTAGCCAAGATGATACATTAGTGTAGCTGAAGTTTTCCTGTGCCCCACCTGGCCCGTGGTCAGGACAAATCTCTCTCATGCACCAGTCCTGCAGCTGCTTGGACCCAAGTAAACACACAGAGGCTTATATTAATTAAAACTGCTCAGACGCCGGGCGGTGGTGGCGCACGCCTTTAATCCCAGCACTCGGGAGGCAGAGCCAGGCGGATCGCTGTGAGTTCGAGGCCAGCCTGGGCTACCAAGTGAGTTCCAGGAAAGGCGCAAAGCTACACAGAGAAACCCTGTCTCGAAAAACCAAAAAAAAAAAAAAAAAAAAAAAAAACTGCTCAGCCATTAGCTCAGGCTAACTATTAACTAGTTCTTACACTTAAATTAACCCATAATTCTTATTTATGTTTAGCCATGTGGCTTGGTACCTTTTCCCAGTTCTGCCTTCATGTCTTGCTTCCTCTGTGCCTGGCTGGTGACTCCTGATTCTTCCCAGAATTCTCTTCTCAGCTTGCCCTGCCTATACTTCCTGCCTGGCTACTGGCCAATCAGCACTTTATTTATTAACCAATCAGAGCAACACATTCACAGCATATAGAGCAATATCCACAGCACATTAGGCTATCAAATGTTGTCATTTTTGTTCTGTTTTGTTTTGTTTTGTTTTTCTATAGGATGCAGGGAGCATTAAATTTTCCCTCTACTCTCTAAAGTTCGTTCATTTGAATCTCTGGAATAAGCTGGTAGGCAGTAGGGAATTAATTGAAGAAGGGGCAGCTAAATTTACCATGAGTACCAGG